CCGTGTAGACAGAGAAATGCTTGTTGGAAGCAGGGGAGAGGAGGGCTGCAGTGTAATGTTTCACATACATATATATATATATGTATATATATATATGCTTCCTCCATTCACTCAAGGAGAATACTTACTACTTAGTGATAAGCTTTTGCAGGGCAATCTACATCTTACGGAAAAGTCTTTCACATGTTTGGGGCAGCAGAGAAGTGGCTTAGGGTGCTGTAGGTGTGGACAAAGTCATGAGCTAAGGGTGGAATACAGGTGAAGTTCAGTAAGTATTTGAGAGAAGAGAATTTCTGTGACTAAATGAGATGGCTCAGATGCAGTAAAGCTTAGGTCTTGCAGAAGCTTCTTGCAAGATCTCGCCTAGAAACTTGAAGTTTTGCATATTGGTTGTTTGTGTGATTGTACCAGCTGCCTTGGTCTAAAAAAATGTTTGATTCAGGTCTCTTCAGCTGTAGAAAAGCATAAAAGTGTAGATTTAGACACTGAGTTGTTAATTCAATTTTCCATTTTCTTTTCTCCACCTCTCCCTTAATTTTGGGAAGAATTAGTATTTTAGGCTGTTTTCCTGAAGAATTGTTTGATCATGCGATCTCTCTGTCCACCAGTGGACATCTTTCTGGATGACTTGGGGGCCTGCTGGAGCCCTCAAGTATAGAGCTCTCAAAGGTATGAAATTTCTGTAGTTTTATGAAACCTAGTAGCTGACTAAAGAAGGACCCACAATCCTAATTCTTGCAATTGCCCTCTAGTCATCTGTTCTGAGATTCAGTTATCAGGATTTATTGGACTGCTCTCTTCCCAGGAGAAGGGAGCCCATTATCACCGTGAGGAATAGCTGTATGATGTTAGCAATCATAATTCCTACGTGCTGGCATTTACTTCCAAAAAGAGGGTGAAATTGGTGGGGAGCTGGTGTGTGTATGGGAGTGAGAGTGAGGATTAGGAGATACGGTATCTACATCTTGTTTGGCTTCCTGATTGCCCTTGCTCAGAGTTTATCTCATTTTTCATTCTGTTTCCTTTGCTGCCTTTTTCATTTGTTTGTTTATATCATCTATCAAGTTTATCATTATGTGCTCATGCACATAAAATCTTTATTAGCCATGCGTATTCTCTATTCTCTGTTTTAATTTTCCTTCCTTCTTTCTTTGATAACAAATTCTGCTGATGGCAGATGTTTCCTATTTGACAGCACCTGAGACTAAGGTTTTCCAGCCACGCAACTGGATGAGCGCTGGCTCCTTCCTCCGGCTGCCCCGCTGTGCAGGATGGGACCATCCCCTGGTAGAAGCGGGAATGAACCTGCCCTCCCAGCCAAACCTGGGGTCACAGGCCTCCTTGAGATCAATGGTCCAGAAGAGAAATTGAAGTTGGGCCGTGATCTTAGGTGTAGTTGTAAACAGGAGTATTTAGGGTCCCCATCTTTGTGCTTCTTTGGTCTCTTTGAAGCAACTGGCCAAAGGAGAGGTGAGTCAGGGTCAGTGCTGAGGCTGAGAAGGTCCTGTGTGCTCTGTGTCCCGTTTCATCTGTTCTCAAAAGCCCTTGAATGGTGGTTAGATGATGGCCACGTCTGCTTCCCACCAACTTGGCTTGACTTGGCCCCTGCACTGACAGCAGTATCAAAGAATGTATTTCCTCACTAGCTCTGAGGGTTAGTGCTCTCACCCTTGTTGTAAATGAAAATTGGGTAAGAAGAATTTCAGCTGCTTTGCACCAGTTTTCCTAAGTCAGAGTGCCATGCTGAGAGCTTCTCCAAAAGGACCCAGTTTGCTCATCTGGTTTTAATGTAGGTCCATTTCTTAAAACTGTAAAATAAATTTTCCTTACCTGTAAGGTACCATGCAGTTGTTGTGGGGATGTGTATCCGTGTTATGGCTGGATACCGTGAACATCCTTTTGGACAATAGTGAGAATATTTCTGCACCAACATCTCTTGAAATCCTTCCTAACAAATCCTTCCCTAGAGAGTCTTCTAGAATTATTCTGCCTTGGACAGGTGGAGTTAATAAGTTCTCTTTTGGCCCAAGCCTTTTATGATCCTTCAATCTTAACACTTTTTTCTAGAATATCAGTTTAAGGGATGCTGCTAAAGCATTTGCACTGTCCATGTGCTTGGCCTCTATTTTGTGTCCTCTCTCCTTTGTACTTTAGAAACCCTCTGTATTTTTCAGCTTTATTTTTTTAGTAGTGATGAGAGTTTCTTTTCAGGCACTGGTGTTAGCTGATATTTGAACTTCAGTGGCTACAAAAGTGTAAACAGTCCCTCTTCCATGGGGGATAAATATTTAAATCCAGATTCAGGGACTTGCAAAGACAGACAGAGCTGCCTGGCAGATCCCGTGAAATGCTCCTAATCGTGAGCAGTACTTGCACTGGGACAAAATGAGAAAAATGAGAATAAATTAGGTAGATGGAAGAATCAGGAACCAAAACTTTGGGACACCTTTCACTGGTTCCTTTTTCTTCACTGGGTCATTTTGCCCCTTGGTCTACATAATGACTGTGTAAATAAATAAAGGACTTTTTTGGACAATGTCCTGTAGTTATTTCACAAAAAGGGTAGCTCCAGGAAAATTAATAGCACGGGTGCAGAGCCCACAGAAAAGAGTAAAAAGATGCTCAATCAGTGTGCTTGGGGCAAAGTCCTTTCTGAAGGGGCAGGGGTTTGCAAATCAGATCCCAAAGCACACGCCATGGGGGAAAGTACCTAGGCATTCATAGGATAAGTGGACAGGAAGGCTGGAGTCACCCATGGAGGTGAGCATCTGGGTGAGAGCCACAGTAAGGGGCAGTGGCAAGTGAACAAAGTAGTCAGACAGAGGAAGATCCGAGAGGCAAGACCAAGTAGCTTGAACTTGATAAGATGGGGAAGAGGAGGTGGCTGAGAAAAGTGGTCGTTCTTGCCAGAGCAGCCTCTTCGTTTGCTGGCTGCTTGTTCCCTGTACTGCCGACATGTGCTCTCCTTTAATTATGTGTAGTTCTTCCCTCCTGAAAAGCTGCTTTCAGTGTCAGGCAACATCGTGGCTTATTACAGTGTCATTGTCAGGTTACACCAACAATGCAAAAGCAAAATAGGTGTATGTCATGTCTCATTTACTCAGTTGCAGAGTTGTTCAGGAGCATCTTCGACTTGTGCTGATCATCTTAAGCCGTAGATTGGCCTGCAGTCGTGGAAGTGTGTCGTGTATTTCTTTGCATTGGAGCCGCTGGCGCAGGGAAGCTGGGGACAAGTCCTGAAGGATACATCAGTGAAAGCCTCCACAAATCACAAGATCTTGTTCTACTGCTCCATATAATTAGCGATTAAAATGAGTAAAAACAAAGCAGCAATTTTCTTATTGATCCCTCAGCAAATAGTTCTGTCTATTTTCTTCTGTATTGTTTCTTCGTATTAAATAGCCTTGAATAAGAAATGTCAGTCAAATGAATTTAGATTCCTGGTGCTTCAGACAGAAATCAAAGCAGGATTGAACGAGGAAAGATAATTAGAGAGAGAAATTCCACCTCCACAGACTTCTTCCTTTGCTCAAGGAGTGCTGATTTTATCTAAATTGCCAAAGCTGTGAGCAAATGAGAGGTGATGGGAATTATAGACTGCAGACAGTGAGACAAAGCTAGGGAAGCTTTAATTAGTGCATTTTAAGGTAGAAATGAATTTCCTGGGAATAAATTATTTGACTCAAGGCATATGGAGCTTCTTAGAGGTGAACTGAAAAGCTTTTTACCTGCCAGAACCAGGGCTCACAGGTTGTATCTGTCTTGTAGAAATGTGTGACACATTGCTGGGATCTGAAACGCATGGGGATGAATCCTCCTTTCCTTTGGATCTCACTTTTGTTCTTAATACGGAGGAATTCCCATTGCTGCAGATTCCCCCCAATGCAACGGAAAGCAGAATTTTTTCCAATACCCACATTTACTCACTCAAGTGTTAGTGATGGACATACTGTTGCTGAGGAGCTGGGAGTTATGTGTTGAACCTACAGGTACTGAAAGGAAGTTATTTTCCTTTCAAATTGTCCTCCTATTCTCTTTGCTCAGCTCTGTTGTCATCCTTTCATCACACTTCTACACACTTAAGGACACTGGGAACCTTAAAACATATACCTTTCTGGTTTTCAACAGATTTCCACAGCTTTTCAAAGGGTGAGACAGTGACAACTCTCTACTATTTGGAGGTAGATAGAGATTCCTGTTTGAATTGATGGAGCTGAAACGAAACCATTTAGCTGGGTGCTGTAATCCAGAACTCCCTGACTTCAGCAGAATTTTTCAGGCTCTAAATTATTTACAATTTCTGTGTGAGGCAGTTTCTCACAAACCTTGTTGAAACAGGCAGGAGTGGGGCAGGACCAGATCTAACAGTTATGTCATGGGAGTGCTTACAGACCTCTGGTGCAGGGTCTGCACAAATGCAGAATAAAATGGCTTTGCCCCCCTAAGAACGACACTATTCTCCTCTGCTCTGAAAAGCATGAATGAAAGCACAGTGAGAGGCTGGCGGATGGACAGGCCACCCCAGCAGCACCTCTCTGATAGATTGGGGTTTGCTGGCAGTGGTGGTCTGCATGAGATATGAGTATGACCAGGAAAACCACTAAGTCCTCCCTTCCTGGGATGAACCACCACTGGGGATCTTCCAGAAACCCTGCTCTGCTCCTGGCCCAACATGTAAGATAACAGATGGGTAGAGCAGAGGTACAACCCTAGTAGCTTCAGCTCAGCCTTTTTGATGAAGGGACCTAAAGTCTCATGAAAGCTAAAAAACCCCACGCCCTCTCTGGGGAAACAGGTATCATGCTCACTGTTTTTCTGATGTTCTGGTTGCCTATTTCGAGTGTTGCTGTTTTGTCCGATAAGTTAATTTGTGTTACCCATGCTGAATGAATGCAGTCAAGAGGTATTGAACGCTGATGTGTTTTTCTTATGGCAAAATAGAAATGTTGCAAACTTGTGAGCTACGGGAGGAAATGGGCTAATTTCAGATTTGTTCCTAGCCCTCGCCATGCGAATGGTGTCGCTGCGAGCCCAGCAATGAAGTTCACTGTGTTGTAGCAGACTGCGCAGTTCCCGAGTGTGTCAACCCAGTCTATGAACCAGAACAGTGTTGTCCTGTCTGCAAAAATGGTAAGAAAGTACTGTATTGGCTTTAACAAAGAGATGTAAAGGAAACATTTTATTAATATGTCGTTACTGATGCATCGTCAGGAGATTTGCTTCCATCAGCAGAGGCTGGTGTTGGGGCTGTTATTTCTCCTTGTGTGTGGGCTTCATTTATGAGGTGGCAACTGGGGAAATTTAGGCTGCCCTTCCTGGCCTCTGTCTTGTAATTGAAGCTGATGGGATTGCTGACTTGAGTAGGGCTTTACAGGACTGAGTCCTGATATTGGTGATAGTCATTTCATGTCTGTTTTTTTTCTCATAATTAGTCTAACATGAAATCAAATATATAAGAAAAGAGAGAGTCTTTCTCCCTAAATTAAGAAACAAATGGTTATTACCTAAAACCAGGGAAAACTCACCAAAATCAATGGCAAAACTTCCACTGGGGCCAGTAAGACACGCACCAAGCCTGTAACGTTGCTAGTTGTGTGCTGGAGTCTGTGTGCATAGCATTGGCCC